AAAGGGTTGAATAGGTGTGTAGCGAGATAAAATGTATCCTGCTTAATAAGGTTCGGAAATTGAGTTTTCAATCAGAATTACGTTTACCGTTTTTACCTAACAGGGGTACCCTCATCTAATCTCAGTTTGTTAGAGGATTTGATCCTAGCGAGAATTCATTTAGTTAGAGGGCTCTAGATGGCTGAGTTGTGGCTGAGTGGCGCCTCTTGAAAGTTTGCGCACGCACCAGATATGCAAATTATGAACGTAATTAACCTAACCGCACTATCCCAACTAATCATTTTAACACTTTGATATACAAGCAAAACTATTTATAGGTCGGGGGGTCGCTGTCTTGTCATATTTATACGACGTGTAGGTATGTAAGAGCGACGACCGGAACGGCGGTACAAATTCATACAGTAATGGTGAATTTAAATTTATATAATTATTATCATATATAATATTTTTGCAGAATAAAATATACGTTATTCCAATAGCGGCACAACAACCCGATGGGCGACGAGATTTTTATAGATTCTTTGGATTTTTTTTTATAGTATCGTATTTAAGGCATCCTGTTCTCGGTTTTTTTTATGGGTGAAAATGGAATGATAACCCCGCCTGCGCTAACGGGATACGCTGGCGGAGCACCAGTGAAGGGTGATACATAAGAAAGAAAACAGGCCAGTTAGCCCATCATGATGAATTCATCAGGTATTAACCATGATAGTTTCCAGGGGGAACCGCGAGGAGGTCGACCTGGTTAGGTATATTGCAATGGGATTCTTAGTCTCCATCACTAACAATCCCTTTCCCCCCTCCTGTCCTCGATTTGTTTGATTTTGCAATGAGTATTTTTGTGTTTCTAAAAAGGTAGCTTTAATTATCACAAGATTAATATAGGCCGACAAGGGTCAACACGAAAGTAATCATAATGGAAAAAAAATATTATTAAACTCGATTCAAACTTGACAATATTCTTCTTTGAAAATCATTTAGATAACTTGTGTAGGTATACATAATAGTATTTTTTATGGGTATCCATTAAATAGTTAGCTACCACACACCAAAGAAATCTAGGTAGTTGTTTACTGATTAACGATTCTTAGAGGAATGACGCTTTACAAGTACTGCTGCCATTTGTATTTCCCAAACTCCTTTTCTCAATATTTCTTAAAACAAATAAACTAACCGCAGTGGAACTGGTCGTACTGTGAGCAATTTCCATAATAACGTATTGCCCTAAACAGTCTACCGAGTTAACTCGATTGTTTCAACTTTGTTCCATTCCGTAATAGGCAGAGGGTTAGGAAAGTTTCACGTAAGCTATTTTCCTTTTTGTTCATTACGGTTGCTATAATACAGGGACTTGTTTCTCGAATGATGCGAGGTGAAGATTGAAGGTGCGTCACCGTAAACACGCCTCGGGGAAATTTCTTTCGCTTTCTGTCAATCTTGGATGTAGTTTTTTTTATTCGATACTGAATCTGCAGGTTTGATAGTCGTATTTAAGTTTAGCTTACTAAGTGAAACTCTTTATTTCATGAGAGCGGTTGTTCCTTTGAATGCTGCTGAGTGTTTACGATAAAATCGTATACCGATAGATATATAAAGAAAAAATTGTTGTTTTCAACTTAGAAATATTTAGTACTGGTAAATCTTTGGTGATTCTTCTGCCTTAACAAACAATAATAAGAAGAAACATTATGATATTGCGTAGCAATCAGTTGATTAAAAATGTCCATTCTCCATAATGCACTCTGTTCGGGTTCAGTTAATTCTGATGATGTTTTCCATATTTCCATTTCCGTGCTGGAAAAGTGTCTTTAAATGCTTACCTGAAAAATATGTACTAGAATATAGTCTTAGGATTATACGTTTATTTTACAATTAGCTATATTTGTACGTCATACACGCGGTGTTTCTTTTTATTACCCACAATAAAAATGATTCTAAATGTTGATTTATTTTTAAACGATATCAAAAAGAAAGTTTTGAATTCCGTTGTATTTTTTTTTATGCTACTTAGAATGGCAAACAAACTGACGGCCCAGTTGATGGAAAGTGATAATCGTCGCTTATAGACATGAGCAGTACCTAGTAATGATTGTTACCTCACAATTACGTTAGTTCTAAACTGATTAGGAAAATTCATTTTTCATCTGAAAGGATATACTTACAGATTGATTTCGTAGAATTTTATCAAAGTCAGTTCAACAGTTTAATTTTTAGATTAAAATAAATGGTTTTATAATAATTGAAGTGTTTTTTTTTTGAGGGGCACAATGTTTAATTATCTAAGTTATTATCATAACACTTTGCAACCAAATTTTAGCAGTTATTGGAATGATGCGTGCATAAACTCCGTCTAGTGAAAATATTATTAAAATGCATTTTTACTTATTAACTCAAATTTGTTATGCATACGTATAACAAAAATGTGACATTATTTTTCTTTGAAAAAATGCTTAAGTGTTATTATATAGTTCGATAGTATTTCCTATCAAGTGCTGTAAATCAATTCGATTCACAAAAATATCGTGGAAGATTTAGTAGATACGGGGTTCGGGCTGGCGGCGACGGCCCATCGTGAAAAATATGAAAATTGGGGAGCTCGCTCGCTGCTCGACACCACGCCGTATAAGTATCGACCGTATTTGTGCGAACCTCAATATCAGGATGTACTTGTTCTTGTACCACCATCTGATTGTAACGAAAGGACGAAAACGCTTCTATTTTATTTCGTACGTGTACAGGGCCCCCGAATTTGTTCGCATCGTATATGTTCCGCAGTATTATGTTTTACGGGCGAATTCAATTTATTTTGTTATCGATTGATGAATAAGTGTTTTCATTTTCGTAGAATTCTCTCTCTTTAGATTTTAGGACCACCTATTTAAAATTATTGTTTGCGAATTCGGTAGGTGCAGTTGCTTACAAAAATAGTGAAATGCTTTTGTTCCAACAATTTATCACGGTAATATTTTTAAAATAACAGGTACCATTATAATATATATATATATATATATATATATATATATATATATATATATATATATATATATATATATATATATATATATATATATATATAAATTTAAAATAAACTTATCTAACATATATATTATTTTCCAAAATCCTATCTACTCATACGAAGTTGATCCGGACCTCTAGTAAAATATAAAACAACATCTACTATTGAGATTTTTCTAAATCAGTAATCAGTAATCCTTGTTATATCTATTGGTATGTACCAAAGCCAACGTTTCGTACAAGTGACCCAATTCGGATAAGTGGGGTTATAGCGGTTGCACGTTTTGTCTATCCGAGTTAAATGTGTACGTCAAATAGACCATCACATCCTAACTTAATCTAATTAGATTTGGAACCTTTTAATAATTATTTATTAACGCTTGATTTTGTCCAACAATAGAAATGGTTTTGAATTTCAAAATGTTCGCAAACAGGTAATGTTTTTATGTAAATAATTTACGTTGCTGGGTATATTTTTTATTTTGAGAGTTGTACTCTCTCTCCCTCTCCTCTGTGTATTTATATTATTACTTATATTATTATTATTAAAATACATTAAATTTATACTAAGGAATACCGTTTGTTTCTTTAATTAACAGAAAAGATAATGTAAAGATTATGATGGTAATTTTTTTACATCGAAATGTTTTATATTGGTTATTTTTTTATATATGAAATGAGTGGACTGTAATTTACTAAAACTGGCATAATTACTGGATATATTAATTAAGCTTAATTTGACAATGAGTAATGCGGTACGCTAATTATTAATAAATACATATTTTAATGTTTCTTGTAAAACTTATCAAAATTGAACTTCCAAGAGTAATTTTCTATCGTCAATGTATTACATAATAGACGTAAAAGACCCCAGATATTTATTTACACTTTATACGTACGAGGAAGAAAGGTGGTGAATCAAGTTATTTAGTATTCCGTCAGTCGCGTGAGCCAGTTCTCGGCAACTTTCTCATATAGCTCCTTGAATTTGACATTCTTTTACCCTCTTGGGGTGTTATCGTTATAAATTTAAGTCTTAAGATTACATTAAAAGTACATAAGAGTACAGAGTAAGAGCTACGAACATAGAATCAGCATAATTCAAACTAAAAGAACAGCATTTTTTCGAATGCATTTAAGAAATAATGCTTTTTATGAGTGCACATTATAAATTTGCTCATTCGATTTAAGATAATAAAAAAATAGAGAAAAATCAAATAATGATTTATTTGTTAGGTGCTATAATAAAAAATTTAAATAGCTCATATCTCGGAATAAACATATTACCTACTAATATAATACAATTATAACTAAATGATGTTTGTACATGGAAGATATTTAAGAAAAATAGATATGAGGGGTCTTAATAAGAGCAATAGAAGCCAAAATAATTACTTCATTAAGTTGGATGCGGTTTCCAGTAGTGTTTCTAAAGGTCTAATTTAAAATCTTGTGTATGTTTTATTTTAATATACCATGTAGAAGTGTCCTACTCGTATATCATTGGTGTTCCTTGAAATTCACGCACAAGAAGTAGCGGACAAAAAGCTAGTATATATCTATACTAATATTATATATGTATACTAATATAATATAAAGATAAACTCATAAACTACTGAACCGGTTTTATAAATGATTTCACCTATACATTATCAGATAGTAATAGGCTACATATCTCTTAATTTCGAAAATTCTTTTTACCCGTGTGAAGCCGGACCGGAGGGCCTACCATGAAGTATTTTCCGAAATTTCGGGGACGAACGAAATAGAAATTTGATGTTAAAATTACATAGTACATGCTGTTTAAATTATTAAAAATGTTAAAATATCTTTCCTTTGGACTATTAGAATAGGATTTATGATGAACAAAATGTTAAGCTCCATTCACTGGGTCGATTTTGATACGAACAAAAACACGAAATCGAGCCCGAAATTTCGGAATTTAATTTCATGGTAGACCACCGGATCACAAGTAGTTTATAAAGTTATAAGTTCATGGATCTTTCTAACGTTTCAACGTTGTTTCGTAAATGTCTAAAGTTTGAATCTGTGAACTTAGATTTATGTGTGACGTCAATCTGTTGTGCTGAGAGGTCGTAATCATACTTACGAGTCGAGAGCGTCGACTCGAACTCAATAGTTGGAGCTAAAATGGAATTTGCTCTAACGTCAAGATGTCAGGAGCGGACATTCATTTGATGCCATTTAACATTACGGGACGGAATTATTATTTCACTAATGTCAATAGATGTTTGAAATATTTTATAAGTTATTCGTTTAGAAGTAGAAGATAATTTTTAAATTATTTTCGAATCCGGGCAAATGTCTACTAATATATGTACCTGATATACGGTTCCTTGATATGTATTTCATCAACAACGGCTTAAAGATTATAAACTATGTCTATTATATACACATGCAATATATTTATCTTATGTCTGTAACTCCAAACTTAGATAAGACACTAATGGTAAGCCATTATCATTAAAAGTTTTGCAGTCATATTCACAAAATTCAGGAATAAATAGACAGATAAAAAAATAGAAAACTATTTCTTTTGCAGACAATTTGGCCAACTAACGTTTTCTATGTTTACTTTTTCTATTATATCTGTTTTTGACATTTCTGTACGATTTTCCTGTATACTACCGCTACTATTTTACCCAATTTCATGAAAGAAAACTTTGAACAAGATTTCCTGAATCACTCGTAGTATTCAACAATGGTCCATTTTTCACAAAATTAAATAAAAAATGTTACTAAATGTTATACATTTAAAGTTTTATCAAAGTACTAAGTCGTATGGATAAAACAAAATCTTATCGCTATCTCATCTCACTTTCAGAGAAGTAATACAAAGTTACAATTCCATATTGAATCAAATTGAATCAGATAGTACGTATGTGTCAAAAGTTTGGCGCTATAACTTTCGAAGGGATATGTGTGGCCCTGAAAAGAAAGAAAGATTGAACAGAAACTTTGTATAGTCTATGTATCTATCTAGATATATTGCATCAAAGAACTGTGCTTGTAGAATAAAAAGAAAATGTAAATTTACGCAAATTCAAGTATAGATCAATATAGCATAATATATAATTTATTGGTTTTTAATAAAGAGATTATCTAGCTGTAACTTTTGATTATATGTTACATGTAAATAATCAACCAGTTCTGTCTAAAATATTATTTATATATGTCTTTTTTGTAATTTGGTATCGAGGCAATTGTAAAATACTTTATTTTTGCATTTATATACAATATCGCTAGGAAATATTGTGTTACTACATTCCTAGTTACTTAATAAGAGTTCTTATTTTGCCATTTTTTACTAAAAGTCGTTACATTATTACGATTACGAATGAAAATATGAAATATTCACATATTTTTCAAATTTTCAAACAACGATATAAATTAAATATAAAGCTGTTATCGTAAGCAATTAATTCTCTTATAGAATATCTTTATCATCAATACTGTACTGATGGGCTTGAAAAAGCTAACTGAGTATCCATTAAAACGTAAATTGATCGATGGTATTATTAATTAAGGATCGATCATGCACGCTGACATTGTATCAGTATTTAATTTTGCTACATCTATTTTACATTACTACAAATCCATAGGTACCCGCATTAAAACGTTAGCTGTTACTGTTTATTCTACTAATTTTACTAGTATTATTAAAATAAGTTTATGGAGATGTGTGGATATTTGAGTTTTTATTACTCTTTCACACAAAAACTATTGTACTTAACAGATTTGTAAGAAAGGTGCACGAATAGCTTATGTCCTAACTTAACATGTAGGAAAGAAATTTATATCCTGACTTACGCGGGCAAAGCTGCGAGACATAGCTAGTCTTATGGATGTGACACTTTGTAAAGATTTTAGTATATTTCGATACTTGTTATTGAAATAAATATTAATATAATTTGCTACACACATGATTTATTCTGTTAAACATAGGTTACTTTTAGCTTATAATCGTAAATGAATTAATCAGATATTTATAGGACAAATACTTACTAATCACTAAAATCAAGTCGGTATATTACAATATGTATATGTATATAAATATATTCTATTTCGTTAAGAAACTTTGAAATAAATAATAACACATACTTCCAACCTATAAGTTCAAAAGATGTCAACCTTTTGGACACCAATTCGAATTTACATAATGTATAGATTTTAACATTCTCGTGAAATGGTTATTGGCGCAGTATATTCGACTTACATGAAATATATACGATATTGTTAACAGGCACTGCAGATACAGAAAGGTAAAATTATATGGAATAATATGGCGGCGCTAGTACTTTCATCGGATTAGGTGCATGATACAAATTCAACGAAGCTATACTGATCGTTCGTTCACGCTACACTAAACCTGCTAGCATATTTGCAGGGTTGTAACCGCAGCAGATTTCAATTTCTCTGCAACCCGTATTGCATCCACGCTTGGTGACTGTACGCTTGTAGTGTTTGGTACACGAATTATATTGTTTAAGAGTATAATTGGATTACATATTTATAGAACATACAATATTTAGTATGAGAACATTTCCATTGCCTTTTCACTACATTCTCGCAGTTCAACATTTGTATCAGAGCAGCAGTGGAAGTAACACAAATTTTATTAATCGAGTGAAGAGTCGACATCTGCCAACTATAATCCTATGAAATTCAATGCACTGCAACCAGCTAGAGCTCGGAGTACTGCCTCAGTTTGTGTTTCGTAAACTGTCTCGGGATTAAAGCGTTTAAAATCCGTTTGAAAGACATGAAGCAATTTAAGGAATCATGCAGTGTTTTGATGAAAAATTTATAGCTGACTTAAATATTTATATATCAACTACTTGCAAAATTTATATTTTCTTTCCATTAAAAATATTGAATATTAATAATGTAGTTTGATGTACATCTATAATAATTATGTAGACTAATTTTTTATTTGAATCATGTAAAATAATTTAGAAATTAAATGGGTGTTCATTAATAAATAATATATTAGTTATTTAATTAATTTTATTGGAACTAACTTACAAATATTATTATAACATATTTATGGTAACTAAATATAAATATGTTTGATATGTTATAATTAGAAATATGTTAAAATCAATATAATAAGGAGTGTACTTCATAAGAATCTATTTATAATAATTATATTTTTAATCAAAGTAATCAAAATGATGTAATTCATGATGAAAATAAGATGGATTATTAGGTTTTCCGTATGTCTTGATAATTTTCTTTGAATAATTTGGAAAGTGAAAAGTGTTCTCTTGTCCATAAGGTTCATAATTAGAATAAAATTTCGAACTCTTACGATTAAGTATCAGTGGGTCCAGTTGATATGAGTACTTTATATTATTTTGTATTTTTTTCGAATCATGGTGCATTGGTGATAGATGTTGTTTTTGCAATATATTGTGTAGGGTGCTTAAGTTAATTTTATTGATATCCTTTGATGGCGTAAATTGATTTTTTGTTTCATTTTTAACATTTGTCCTTAATATTCGGTCTTTTACGTTAGACACATTTGATGTACCATGATGTGATATAGTAGATATTATCCGAGTATCATTGATGTAATCAGCTTTTGGTTTTGTAACGTATCTTATAATAGTATTTGATCGTCTAATGCCCTTCGGAAATACATTACTGTTTATGTTACTTGAAGGAGTTTTATTGTTTTTTGTTTTATAATTTTTTTCTTGTGATTGTGTTCTTTCTATAATATTAACAATATTTTCTAATTCTTGTAGATTTAGAGATGGTTTAGTGGTAGCTGCTACGACTTGGTTTTCTAAATTGAACAATTTTTCATTACTATCACGAGAATATCCAGATTTATTTGCATTTGGATCTAAGTTTATCAAAAGAGATCTAATAGATCTTTCCCAATAAGACCGAGGTGCATAACGGTTTTCATTAAATGCCGATGGTTTCTGATTATTTTGGTTTTCTTGTTCAATTTCTATATTAATTTCACGTTCACCTTTAGTATCGATTTTTCTTATCAAAGAGGCAATTTCTCTTCCAAGACTTGTATAATATGAATCGTCAGTTTTGGGCAAGTACCGTCGATGTTCAAGATCTACTTTTGGGTAAAATTGATTAGTGATAGGAGTTTTGTATGTATTAAGATTATTTCTTCTAAAATTTGGTACAGGGCTGTAAAATTCCAGCATATTCTCCGTGGGGGTTTTGTAAGCAAAATTTTTATTTTTAGTCTTATTTAAATCTACTCTATGAATAAGTTGAGTTAAGTATTTGAAATCTACATCTTCTATTTTAGGAGTCTCATCTGCCTTCGGTTTTATTTCGTTGTATGAGAAAGGTTCCAGTGGAAAATTGTCATCGAGTGAGTGCAAATTTGGTTCCTCATATTGATCTCCAAAATAGTTCGGTGGCATTTTGTGTCTTTTAATTTTTTCTCGTATTTGTTTCAACTGTAATATAATAATAATATAATACAATTAAGCATATAAATACTATATTGATAAGTAGAACGTAGAAGTAAGATAACAAAATAAGTAACTGAATAACACTTATGCTTTTCTCCTTTTGGATTAAACAAGAGCAATTATTAATTGTTTTGATTAACTTTATATTTATATGGTTTATTATTAGATACTTCTAATTTTGCCTCAATTATTTAGCGAGTTTTACTGTAAACTAATTAGTTTACTAAAATCGTTATACATATTATATACAATACATAATTTATGTACAAAAGTCGTCTGCTTGGGCACCTCTGTCCCATTTGTGTTTCTGCCGTGAAGCAGAGTGAGTTGTGTTTGTGTAGCTTTGCTTCGATTTGAATAGTGGGATATGGCAATGAAATTACAGGATATTGAGACATAACACATTAGCACTCAGGAATGGCAATGCATAAGAGGTAACAGAATATCCTGTTATGTCCATATATGTATAGACGACGGTTAATATTGTACATCAGATGGGCCGTCAGCTTACTTGATATTCTAAGGAACATCAAAAAATATAAGAATGGCGCATTAGATTCCATATGTATTATTATGATAATTACATATTGATGTTTAACTATTTATGTAAAGAAATATAAATGAATAATTAACATAGTATTGTCAATAAGCCTCATTGTAGCGGCTTACTAGAATTAGCATAGTTTCGTTAATAACCACATAACTAGTCCGTTATAGTTATCTCAGTATAATTTATAATTGCCTGCTAGGCGACGAGTACCATATTCTATGATATTATATGGTGTTCTATTTATATAGGTAGGCCGCAAACTTATACGCATATACAACTAGAATTAAAAAACTTACGAATTCATTTCGACGGTCAATCTTTTCTTTCTTGCTTCTTTTTACATTTTCTCTGGAATATGTGGTTTTGTTATACAATTTAGTTTATAAAATTATTGATTTGTTACACTTAAAAAGAAGTTTTGTTGAATGTAACAATATATATCATTTTTGTACTTGTATTTAGAATGTCAGAAAAGGAAGTAATTGAAATATCAAAGAAGAAAGTAAATATTTTCTTACGGTGGTGGTTTTTCACTCGGGGGAGGGTTGGTGGGCTCAATTTTATTTGGAGTGGCTTCTGTAGGAGTTATAATTACACTTTCATTATGTTTGGTTTGTTTTGTTGTTGTGGTTTTTTCATTTTCAGGCTTCGGAATAGCTTTGGAAACAAAATTATTAAGTATAATTAATTAATTATCAATATAATTATACTCCAAAGATTTTTCTATTTTTCAAATGTAATTTGGAGATATCGGATAATATAAAACTAATCTAAATATTTATTCTTTAATTATGGTACTTATTATTATTTTGATGAAATATGATATAATAATTAATTAATTATTAATTAAATAATTTAAGCCTAAACGAAATTAATTGGAAATAAATAAAGTCTTTTTACTAACCTGGATATTTAGGACTCATCGGCGGTACAGGCACCATTGGATACATAGGAATAATTGGTGGAGGAGGTAGTCCAATAGGTGGATAAAATGGTGTATCAATGTTTGGTAAAAAAATGAAAGACGGCAACGGTGGTGTGGGCTTCTTGTTGATCATGATAATTTTCCTATGGTCATGTTCATCATCATTATCTCTCTCATATGAACTACTGTCACTGTAACTCGAACTTGAGCTCGAATCATCAGAACTCGAGCTAGAATGAAATAAGCTATCATCCTCAGTGATTCGTAACAATTTTTTCCTCAGACCTTTTTTTGAAAACTTTTTCCGCTTCGACTTTTTTCCAAATTTTCTTATTTTACGCTTTGAGACACGGTTTGGAGGGTCACTGCCACTTCTTCTAGTCATAGATTCGTTGTCGGATTTGTTGATAACTTGATTTTCTATAGTTTTGAAGAATTGATTGTACAACCAATCACCTAGGTCGTCAGCATCTTTGGTTATGGCATCAACGTTGTCATTTAATGCCTTATTTGTTGTCGGTGTTGCATCAATCGCATTAACAGTGGTAAACTGTGACGGGATTCGTGTGGGTTCTGACATGTAGAGACGTCTGAAGTTTTGAGTTAATTTGACGCTGAAAATATATTTTAAATGTGTTATAGACAAGTTAAAACAATATATTTATTTTATAGAAATTAATCATGGACCTTTTAACTGATTTAGAAAATGAAATAGATTCGTAAATGGACCACTTTTTAATTTCGTATATATATTATGCGACATATCCACCATTTTTTTTACTAATTATGATGATTATTTTCTTAATTAAAAGGGTTTTCTAGTGTTTTTCTCGAACTAATTTTATTTAGATCATTAAGATAGACGTGAGAGAATTGTATTTTATATATATGTGTATATTTTATGTATATATGTATTTTGAGTTCCGTTTTCTTCACTTACTTGGGCTCACACACTTTTGTTTCGGTATCAAAATAGTAACCAGGATGACAGTGACATCCGACCACACAGCCTGGGATTCCATCGATACAATATTCAAACCTGCCATGTGGACCGCATTCTGTTTTATGAAATAAAGTTCGTATTAAATAAAAAAAAAATGTAAAAAAAACGATTACTATTTATGGGCATAAAAATTTCAAAATAAGACTGGTTAATTTGTGTATTCATATTTAATACGTAAATAAATATAGGTTACGTCTGTCTTTCATTGGGGTGGGAATAAACAATAGAACGTATAAATAAGAATTTTAAACATCAAGAAACATTGTAAAAAACTCACACTTATGGGAATTATATTCGTTAATTTCAGTACAAGATTGTTTTTTAGGATTGTGGTCACGACATGTGATCACACTATCCTGACCGAACACAGAGACAATATGGTTCATAAATACAATCAACCGAAAAGAGAATGATTAACTCTCAATGGTTGACCGTACTAGGTCAGCTTACTAATTGCTTTTTTACGCTACGTTTGAAGGATTGGAGGCTATAGGATGAAGGAAACACGTCTCGGGAAAAGCCATTCGACATTGTTATGGTACGGTTCACGTTCAGAGTTGGGAAACTTATTTGTACGCAAGCGTAGTCGATCAACAGTGTATGGATGCAGTCACTGGCCTATTCCAGAAAGGGAAGGTAGTATTATATTATGATCAATTAAGATAAGATAGATATGTATGATAAGCAAGTAATCAATAATTATAAATTACCGTATTGAGTTTCCATTCCCTTACACGTGGGTAGTAATAAACTGCACAGCACAACGAAAATCCAAAAAATCTGCCCGTTCATTGTTAAACTGAAATACTAGGACATTGTTTATTTTTCTGTATATTAATTTTGTTTTATTTGTGTATTATTTATCACTATTATAAAATGTGTTTCAAAATTGTCGTTACCATTCATAAGAAATATTAAACACGATTGTATTAGGAAAGTCATTTGCCACCTGCATAAGCAAAGAATTGATCGAAACAATGCATTGTGTTTGCACCTTACTAGAACAATATGTACACCATACAATGCATTCAAATAAAAAATATAGCTTAAAATTGTAGTCAAAAGAAAGTGAAAATAAATTCATAATTTCAGCCGTTCCCAAAGAGATTCACTAGATGCTGTAAGTGACAAAGATGTGTTTAAATAAATATTTTAGATACGGTTCTTTTTTTGGAAATTACAATACTGAAATATATATATATATATATTATATTTTTATATTATTGCTGATATTCTGTCTATATAAGTTATGATATTTAATAAAAATAGATGTATTTTTATAAAAAGAACTCGTCTATTTGTAGACTTAGTATATTTGTATATTTATGTCGACATGACTAGCGTGTCAGAATAATGATAAATAAAACTATGTTGAAACATAGAGTACTTTTTTATTTAATTATTGTATTTATAACATTATATCTCATAAGAATTATTGCTGTTTGTACTTTCGTTGTCTATAGATCATGTTTCATCTCCAAGATCAGGAATTCCTTTGAGTCCTCTGTAATAATATATTAAATTAAAAAGATACAGGTACGTATGGAATAATAAGATTAAGCGATTAAAAAATTGCGAAGGTTCTGAAATGTATTTGTTTTGTATCACTTAGAATATTGATAACCATATTATAAAATCTACTATAACAGCTTTTATTTTAGATTATAAATATATTTGTTTTACAGGAAAAATTAATTTGGTTCGTAATCTACGTTATTTGATCCCTCAAATATCCTAAATTATTATATTATAGGTATTGCAGTGTACATTTATCATCTTCAGTAATAGAAAATAGAAAATTAATTATGTACAATTAAAGAACTTACTTGGTACAGTCATCAGGTAATACACACTTATGCGTTCGATCATCTCGTACGTATGGAGGCATACATATACAGCCAGCCTCACAGAAGGGGTAACATGGCTGTAGTCTATCGCGCGGGTTGTCACAGGTAATTGCTGCACATCCAGCGAAACAGGTTTCATATCTAAAATTTATTATATCAATATTTAATATGTATGCTTTATATATATTTTTTAAATAACTTATTTCATTTATAAGTGGATTTTTCTGAAACAATTACTTTTCATGTGGCCTTTCACAGTTCATGGTTCCAATAGTATTCTTCTTATCAGCATCATTATCCCTGCCAAAATATTGAACATATTCAATTTATGTATTGTTACAAAATAATAAAACAATAAAAAAAAGTGTAAATAAAAATTACAAGTATGCTGAAGAATGTACTGTTTCGCTACTCTTGAATATGGTTGCTTTGTCTAGATTATCGTAGTGTCTTTGTCCTCTATAACTTGATGATAAGTCTAGTTCTCGCGGTCTATCTAAATTACTTAATAATTTCGACTCTGGATCATCTACGTATCTTGGATTATCATAACGTCTCTTTTTATCATTCCAGTCTTTGTGTTCAAATTCTGAAGGATTCTGTAACGCTTTCTTCCTCCAGTTTCTTCTGTCATCGATGAAAGAATGTCTTTTATTTGCATCAATGTCATCATAATCGTAATTACCCGATCTCGTAGCTAATGCAACGATGTCATCTGTAATATAATTTTGTTCTTTGGCATCATTATGTTGCCCTAAATTAACTTTAATATCTATGAATGCTAAACACTTACATAGCAAAAGTGCAAGTAGCAACAACTTACGCATTTTGTTTTAGCAATACACAATCGACGATTCAAATGTGTGTGTGGCGAAAAATTGGCGTGCGACTATTTTCGATTCAGTTTATGGCAATACAGCCACAACCAATCAGTGAAAATCGGGCGTTGTTTGAGAAAAAGAAATCGAATTAAACCGGATGTGATTGCTTGTTTGAGTTGGTGTTGATTGTATTAAAAAAAAAGTAGTGACTACTGTTTTGTATTATGCTCCATCGATAATTTAGTTTCATATATTTATATATAGTATTAATATAATATACGAACTACTAGAAGTTTAACACAATTTTAGGAGAAGAAAACCTCTTTACCTGGCTGATTGGCCATCGTGGTAATAGTAGGTTCACATAAAATATAGACTTCTTTCCCGTTGGTGTCGTAAGAGGCGACTAAGAGAACTTAATGGTCAAGGGATGGGCAGCAACGTCTCTTTTTAAACATCACCAAAGCCTAACTGCAGTTGCCAACTCGACTGTCAATCGTGGCAACTATTGACAAAACCGCTCAAGGGGGAGGCATAGTTAACGGCTGGGACATTTATGGGTTTTTGTAATGACTAAGTCTATTATGACTCTAATGATTGTAAAAATAAAGTTTGATAGGGTCCGACTACCTGAGGTATCTCTGCTTAACCCATAAACGATTTGGCGTAAATAAAAATAATTTAAGATAGGTACATACATATGTTAAATAACAAGAAGATCAGTATTAGATTATATAGAAAATTTATTAAAAAAAAATACAAATTTTGCCATGTATCTACTTAAATAAGTTTCGAAGGGAGTCTAAACTCATCATTTTGTAATAATTTTCTCGGTTGCAATGCTTTTATAGGTGGTGGGGCAATTACTATATTAAAGTAGTTCCCCATTCTTGATACTTCTGATGGTTTTTTGAACTCATCCGCATGGTTGAATGGTACTTCATTGTCTAATTCTAATGGTATATCGTCTCTTTTGCTGTAAGCTCGTGAAGACTTAACTCCGTATTTTGTTGCTTGTTGTTTATCTGATCTTCTATTCGGCACAGGGATCCCCATTTGTGTACTGAAATTTTAATTTTAATTGTGTTAAAACTTTTGCGTTTTATTTACTTGTACCAAGTTAAATTGCAAAGTTAACTAAAAGCTTCTAAAAGTTGTCTAATAGAATAACTACGTTACATATCTATATATATATATAAATTAATGCCACTTTTCGTTGTAATTTTATAACTCAAGAACGGGTTCACCTATCCAAATCAAATGTTTAGGCTTTGTTCGGACTATTTAGCAGATGGTTTATGTGAAGTTTGTACAAAATCGGTCGAGCAATTCTTCATTTATCACATTTTTGTAACAAATGAATTCAATAAATGGCGGATCATTTTGTTAATGATTTTTGCAGTTCTTTTTTCATTTATCACATTTCTTGTAACTAAAAAATATATAAATTGTGTTTAATCCAAAGTAAGTAGTGTAGGGTGGGTTTATTAGATAGATATAGAAAACAAATATAGGTATGTTTAATCATATCACAGGTTTATTTTGAAACAGACAACATATCATTTAAAGGTTTTCAAAGAATTTTAGTAATGCTTAATCAATTATTTTAATAATTTGATTTACTATTGGTGAATATACTAGACAACTTGTTACATGCTATTAACAAAATACAATTAAATTAATATTTTTTTATGAAATTCGTATAAATTGACTTATATTTATGTATGTATTTATAAAAAAAAGTATATTAGTATCTCTATCAGTAGTTTAGTATTCATAGTATCTCTGTTTAGTTTAGGATTTTTTTAATGAACGGTAATGGAATAGTAACCCCGCCTGCGCTAATGGTATACGCTGGTGGGGCACTAGTGAAGGATGATCGGTGAGACTGAAACGGCAGGTCAGTTAGCCCATCACGATGAATACACCTGGAAATCAACACAGTGATTTCCAGGGGGGCCCACGAGGAGGTCGACCTGACAGGACTAGTAGTCCGCATTACTAACAATCCCTTCGTCCTTAGTTTAGGATTAGATGGCGTTGTGTAATATATCCAGTGGTATTTATAATATGTGTAATGAAATTATACTTACGGTGAACAATCCTGTGGTAGTACGCATTGGTGTGTGCGATCATCACGGACATAAGGCTCTTCACACACGCATCCAGGCTCACAATATGGATAGCAGGGTCGAAGGTGATTGCGAGGGTTGTCACATGACACTTCTGCGCAGCCGCCGAAGCAGGCCTCGAATACTTCGTGTGGCCAGTAGCACGCTTATTTTAAAAATTCATAGGTTAGATATTTTTTGCCTCCTCTGGAGTAATTATTTTCTCTTAATGTAGGATAATGGGTTTCATAAATTTCATTAACAATTAAATTGTTTTGTACATAAGCTATTATATATAAATTATTATATACATAAGTACATCAAAATGTATTATATCTTAACTCAGTACAAATAAGTGCTTATTTAAAAAAGTTTATTTACAACTACGATTGGAGTATAATTAATAATACTTTAAAATATAGATATATTTTATAATATTTTAGTATTGTAATTGGATAAGAACTTTGACTTTTTAATGGAACCGAGAATTTTATAACTGTAAAAATCATTTTATATAAAAAAGCAAAGAATCAGTTATCATTGTACCATATTTTATTAAAATTCGTCCCGTAGCGTTTGTGTGACAGATGTTTAGACACAAACTATTTACAATTATTGTATAGATTAAACTTATTAATATTATAAATTTGAAACTTGGTAATTTGTTTATATATTTATTACTCGATCACATTTCAAAGACTGGACAGATTTTAATGGCATTTGGTTGAGAAGGTTATATTTTAACTTGACACAAGAATATTTTGTATAGTAATTTACGCTGCCAATAATCAGTATATAGTTAATATAAAAATAAAGGAACTAAAAGTAACTTTCAAGAATTAAATTGGTAGGTACCTAGGTAAATTGTGCACGTTAAACTAAGGATAGGGCTTTAAATCTAGTTGTGGACACTTCACTTTCTTAGTTCTTTTTCTAGTCGTTTCCACAGGTCCATTAAAGCTCCCCAGAGGGCCCTCGGGCAGCCTAGACTAGCTATCGTAACTTTAAACTCGCGTTTAATAATTGGTTTATAGCGGATTAAGTTTCATCGGAAACATTAGAAAACTGAAGAAAAGTATTAACTTCATAGAGACTTACATTTCATAATTTTTTCATCGTCTCTGCATATTCCATAATGACAAAAACAAGTTAGGACAAAAGAAATGGACAATGCTCTTATCAGTATGCCTCTCATAGCTACGCTACACGACTAATTCACACAGGCACTTCGTTATGACTAAATTTCATTTGATATCCTACTTTGTCGTGTTGGATATAAAGTTTATTTTTCCATTTGCCGCATTCCATCATAATTAATATAGCGCTAGTACGTGTATCGTGGAAGGATAAGGTCCTCATTGGAACGTGATAAGGGTACGTGTTTGGTAAACATGGAGAGGTGAGCCTGGTGAAGCCGCGTTTGATTGAATTATTGCTTGCCTTTTGATATGGTTTCATATTTAGATTAATACGAAATGTTCGTAACTGCTTCGGATTAAAAAAATGGGTTAAGCGCGGGTTGGAATCACTCACTGAGGGTTCCGTAGGTAGAATTATCTGTAACTAGATTTTAGTATTTTTTTATTATAATAGAAACTTATTATGTGGTGTACTTTACATAAAACAGAAATATTATAAATATATTATTCGTATAGCAACTGAATTTTCTTCCAATCATATCTTAGGTTAAAAAACTGGACCGCAAGTTCGTTTATGAAGGATTTTTTATGATTATTCAAAAACTCCTATATTCCCTGTAATATTTTACGTATACTAAAAAAATTACTTCAAATACTTCAAATTTTTTGCTTTATAAACTTCGAGAATATAAAAATATTTTATATTTTCAAATTTTTGTTGCAATAAGGTTGAGTCAACAATATAAAATTTTCACCACTTTGAACTATCAATCAATATAGTGTATTTTCTATATGTCCATAGTGAAATAAGTTAAGCTCGCCTTTGTACATTTGCTTACCTTTGTCATATTTGTGTGTACAATAAAGTATAAAGAAAATAAATACAAATTTCCAATTTATTTATTATAAAGTTAAGGTAGTCATATATGTCCTAAACAAGTATCTATAGTACAAGTAATACAATCATTTTTATATAAACCTATATTAAATAAACTGATTTTTAACTTATTTATAACATACATAACATATTCTCATAATTTACAACTATAAAATACAGGTGTTTCGGATCCTTTTGTTAATACAAAAGGATCTGAAAGGTTTTATTCTACAAAACCCAATATTTCCTTAATGCAGTTTCCTTCTATGTAGGTATCATCTAAACAACTATTACATTCCGATAGCATTCAAAATGTAGTTTCGCACACATGTTGCATGGTACGGCCAGTGATCAAAATGTATCACAGTAATAAGATAAGGAATGGCTATACGTAATAAACAGAACTTATTAAATAAAGCTTCGTTTCTCATGAAAAACGTATTTAGTAGCAAATATTACACGTCTTGGAACATGATGTTAATTAATTAATAATATCTACAGTAATAGTATTATATTTTTTTTCTGAGTTGAACTCAGAATTCTACTATAATCTCGACAGCATAATTTTCTGGTTCACGTCTTATCTTCGTGGACGACAACAAGCTGTCCGTATAGACCGTGAGTTGTCTGATTGCAAAGGTCTTTCATCAGGTGTTCCGCAAGGTGGCATTTTGTCCCCTTTAATGTTTTCGATATTTATTAATCTTCTTTCCATGACAATTGGTTGTTCTTACCATCTATATGCAGATGATTAACAAATGTATGTGTAGACAACTGTCGAAGATAAATTCAGTTATTGCACAGCTGAACGATTATTACCTACAAAAAATCAATGTTTGGTCCCGTGAATTCGGCATCCCAGTAAATCCAAGACAGTGCCAAGGAATAATCGTTAATAGCTCGAGACAGTTGAAAAAGATCGATTATAACTCTATCTTACTTGTAACATTTGATAATTCGATTATTACTTCCTGTACGAGCGTTAAAGATCTTATAAACATTGATTCGAAATTGAGCTGGGCAAAACGAATTGCTGAGACTAGTCGTTCTGTCATAGCTATACTTTAGTACATTAACCTTTTTAAGCACTATTCCCCGTATTCAAACTAAAATTACACTTGTTCAAACACTTGTTCTGCATGTTATTGATCATGCTGATGTGTGTTATCCTGATCTTAATGAAGATCTTCTTAATAAATTAGATCGTCTAATTAATAGTTATATTCGTTTCAACTTCTGTCTGCATAAATACGACCACATATCTTCGTACAAATCCCAATTAAAACGGCTTCTTATACACCAACGTAGACAATTTAGATTGCTTTGCAATATTTTCTCTCTTCTCAGTAATCCCTTATAACCAGAATACTACAGAATAATACAGAAATGTAGTTTTAACTATGTTTGTGATTCTCATACACGCGAACTTCGTTCTAACGACTTCGTTCTTTTCTCTCTATTCCTTTACATTGTTCTGCTTTTCTTTTTAATTCCTTCAATCTTGAGTTCTTACGACTTTGGAATGCGCTACTCATTGATATAAGACGAGTGTCTAACAAATTTATTTTTATTTTCTACAAATATCTTTTGTAGAAACTGTGAAAGCAGTTCATCATCTTCATCATCATCACCTTTGATCTCTATCGTTGTTTATTTGTGTTATCGTATATAATCTATAAGTATATATGTATATTTATATTTCTATGTATGTTTTTATGATGTATATTTATATATGTAAGTAATAGTTGTTTGTTTTTATATGTATATTTATGTAATCATAGCGTGCAGTAGCTCTCCATTGTATGTGTTGTGACTTGTATTGTCGAACTTGTAACTTAATATCGATACGTACGTGTAATTGTTTATCTGCAACAATTTTCAATTTTTCACCGCATAATTACATTTCTATTTTGCCAAATGTTGACTGGGAGAGAATGCTATATAGTATTAAGTTCGCCTTTTGTACCAAACATTTTTTTGTAATGTGGTCAAGAAAGAATAAATAAATAAGTAAATAAGAAAATCAGTAAATAAAAAAATAAGTATATAAGTGAATAATAAAATCTGTAAATCAATAAATACATATATTATTTAGATAGTACGATACTAGTATCCAACTACTTAACTAAACAAGTTTGTTAATATAGATATCTATCAATATTTTTTTATATAAAATTTAATATATATAATTAATCTCCATCCATAAATATCTCCAAAAAATTACAATAGTAAACTTACCTATTAAAGATACAAGCAATTACAAGAAACAATTTTCTTAATATATTATATTCATTGTCAAAAATTTTTTTAGGATTGCCAAAAAGTAAAAAAAATCCCTAATAATCGTCGACAATGCAATAGTTCAACAAGTACACCAATTCTAAATTTGAAGTTTTACTAAAGACTCTTCTGAGATGAAAGAATTCAACTGCACTCGCTGTCCTGTTCTATCTAGAACATATCTAGAAAATATTTGGGAGTAGATACTCCCAAATATTTTTGGAGTCAAGAGTTTTTCAGTATATACATATACATATACATATGTATGCATATGTATTACTCAGTTTTATTAGTTGTTAATAGTATGAATTTTCGTACATTTTCGTTAAAAAGTAAATGAAAGATCGTTGATATTGTTTTAACGATAACTGAAAAAATAGAGTCCACTTATCATACTATTCTGTAGATTATTGTGCAAATATTATTTCTTAAAATGTATGTTATTATATTTTATGCTTACCGATAAAAATAAAGTATATTAATGTTATAAAGAGGAAAGATTTGACTGCTTGTTTGTAATACATATATTTAAAATCTACGAGTACTCAATTATGTTAAAAATTAAGGAATATAACATGTTTCACTATGTTGTCGGTATCCACTATTCTCGTTTATGCAAACATTTTTTCATTCTCGTCTCCAAGTCACATTTAGTAGGAAATACAAAAACTGGAACAGGATTTCTTGAGGGGGGAGAAAGAACATAAAATTAATTGAATGAACTTTAGAACGGTCATTTAATTTTATGCAATTTTTAGAGTCAATGTAAAAATCCTGTTACATGGTTCGGATCGAACATCAAGGGGATGCATATATAAGTATTATATCTATTTTAAATCAAAAACAAATGTAACATATATTCGTTTTTGATTCAATTTGATATATTTTTAATTTAGTCATCCTTTGGAGATGAAGCGTAATTTTAAATGCTTTTAGTTATTAAAAAATGTGTTACAGTATTTTGCTTATTTCAATTGAATAAACCGGAAAAAAAAAATGTGATTTTCTTCGACCCTCGATCCAGATTTTACCTCTATATTTTAAGTTTTCCTTTTTCTGTAAAATAAATATGATGTTGCCAGATCGCTATAGGATTACTTGTAAGTATATTTCTACCAATATTTACAACTTGTACCGTTTATTTACAAACCCAGACGCTCGGAGAGGCTAGGCCGGAGCCGGGTAAGTAATAAAAAAGATCGCACGCAATCATATTTTATCGGGAGAGCTATTTTTCGCAGGCGGATCTCGCTCCATCCGCAACGTTTATATGAAATACCTCAATTTCCCTCCAGCTACATAAAACGACATGTTAACAATAACATTGTTATTTCATATTTATAGACATTTGAATAATTTTTATTGAAATATTAATATCACAATTTTTTCAGAATTTCGCATTAAAATAAGTAAAAAACAAAAACCATATAAGTTAATAATGTAAATTATAGATAATTTATTTAGAACTAATCTACTATGAATAGTAATTTAAGTTACCTACGAGTACTTACCTATTGTAACTGTATAGTATACTAAATACCGCCACCTACTGGATTATTTTTTTCTTACCAGGATAAAAATACACAGAGAGGATACTCTCATAATTGGAGTAAACAATACACATTTACAAAATTCCATTAAAATCGGTTCAGTGGTTTCGGAGATTAGCGAGAACAAACAGCGTGAAATTGGTTTTTTATATATTAACATATATTATATTAAATAAAAAGATAATAAACTTTCTTATGTATATCTCTGTTAAGTATGTGTATGTTATGTATATATTTAATTGTGTATATATTATATATGTATGTGTATATATGTATGTATGTATCTATATATGTTTGTATATGATAATATTTATATAATAGTGCGCCACCTACTCTTTGTCTTTTTCTCAATGTCCTCTACCCAAAGGTTGTCTGGAAG